TTGCTGGGCGGCCGGCCACGCCTCCGTGACGCCCGGCCTGGGTCTCTAGGGCAACGGAGGCCTTCGTGGGCGGCCCGGGCGGAGGATCGAGCGGAGGGGAAGCCACGGGAAGCGGAAAGGGGGACCCCGGGCTGCGCGCTCCCCGCTTCTCCGGGCGCGTGCGTGCCTGCGTGTCCAAGATCCTTGGCCGCAGCGGCTGACCCTCTTGCCGAGCGCCTGCCTAGCGGTTTCCGAAGTCAGCTCTCCTGCTGTCGCTCACACCCGAGGCCGTCTGGCGACTTCAGAGGAGGGCTGATATGCCTTCCCAGAGAGCCAGGTCTCTCCCAATGTGTTCCACACGACTCGGCCTTTTAGGAGCCCAGGGCATTGGTTGTGAAGTGCCACCCTTCAAATAAAGTGTCTTCTCAGTCCCTAGTCCTTTGCTGAGTGCCAAGCTCTGTGCTGGGGATAGCAGAGAAGATCCTTGGAAGACCTCTGTTAAGAGCTCCTCTTAACCAGGGGATCCCTTTTCACTGGCCGTAAACTGATTGATGGCTGACGCAGCGCTATAGCAGGGTGAGGAGTCAAGGATCCTATTTAGAGTTCTTATTTGGGGTAGTAGATAAGGAGCCATTGACCAGAGGAAAATATAACTATGCAGGGGAAAAAAAAAAGAGGCTGATGCATAAAAGTTGAGATGTCCAAAATACCATCCAAAATGTGGCATTCCAGTAGATGGTTGAAAACACGACTATGGCATTGACATGAGTTATCACTCCTAGTAATGTTAGCATTGGTGTACAGACCATGGTTATGGGCAAGTGGATGCTGATAGGTGCGCCAAACACTCCCTGTTCTCAGTAAGTGGTAGGCTGGCTTGTTTGTCCAGGCCTTACGCTTGGGTCCATCTTCACGACATAGTTTGCCAGTGAATTGCGAGTAGCTTCTAGATGCGGATGCCAGGACTTTCCAAAATACTTTCCCTCTGTGCCGTGTCAACTATCAGTGTTCCGGACCCTGAGCTCTGCGATCCTTCATCTTCGGAAGAAAGATACTGAGGAATAAGAATCTCAGTTACTTCATGAGTGGGAAGGAAAACGACCGACGTGAGAATGCTATTACCAGGCCAGGTCTTTTTCACTTCTCAGTGATGTGAATGAGAAGAGTTCTAAGAAATGAAAATTGAGACAGTATTGTGCTTCTTAGACTTCTGTGAGGAGAGTCTGAAAGACTGCCTCGATATTAAATTATTATTATTTTATTATTATTATTATTATTATTATTATTATTATTATTATAAACCCAGGAATATTTTTCACTGTATTCTCTAGTCCTGGTTTACTACCATGACACCAACTCGGTAAGTAAGCCTTGAGTTAGTCTCCAGTTCACATTTTACAGAAGACTATAATCCAGATGCAGAGCCCTTGGTTCTGAGCCAGCTCGTGGGCTGCCAGCCGACCTGGATGTGCCAATCTAGGATCACGAGTCCTTATCTACATAGGGCTGTGCCTATCCAAGCTATTATCTGTCGCTATGGAGCATAGTGCTGTGGCCACCGCAATAGAGTGTTTCCACTCTTGTCTGGCCATAATTTTTTTTCATAGGATTGTGAAAACTTCACAAGAGGAGATAAGGCATGCCTTGATCCATACACAGCAGCCCATCAGGATCAGCCTAAACCCCTCATGGGAAAATATTAACTCTTTCCCTGACCTACAAAGGTGTTTATGACTTCATCCTTGCCCTTTCACCCAGTGGCCCCCTGGCCGCTGCCTCTCCTGCGTGGGCAAGTTTCCTACTTCAGATTGTTCTATTCTTGTGGATCTCCCTCAGGTGAACAAGCCACCCTGGTCACTTAGAAAGCCCAGCTCTGGCCCCTTTTATTTGTTTTACTCATGTTAAGCTCCGCAGGCCTCTACTCAGAGGTGGCATCCCTGACGACTTTTATCTGAAGGACAAATCTGCCTACCAAAGAATGGGGTGCTCCCTGCATTGCGCCTAAGTCCCACCCCCACATGGCATTGCCTTGTGTATTTGCCGTTCATCGCTTGTCCCTCAAGTGAAGACACTGTGAAAATCATTTTTACTGTCTTGTGAACCCCAATAACCTAGCTTTCTAGGATGCCCGATAAAGTTTTTGTCTTTGATTTATTTAGTTTACTTATTGCCATTAATTAAGAGCCAAATGAATGAGTTTCATTGTGGAATTTTAATAATTAGTTCTTATTTTGCCACCTCTCCTGTTGTCTTCCTCTGCCCCCTGACCCACTCTTAGCAGTCTCCTTCCCCGCCAGTCCTCAATAATTCCCTTCTGCATTCATGGTACAATTCATATATCCAGTAATCATCTCTCTTTCACCCCTCCCCACTTCCCTTAGCCTCCCACTCTTTAGCTTCGTCACACAGGTGCGCCCGCCCGCACGTGCACACCCACCCCCACCCCCACCCACCCCCACACACACACACAACATACACACTTGTTTTGCATAGGTCAGCACATGCAGAATTTGTCTTTGAGTCTGGCTTATTTAACATTATACAGTGTGTTCCATCTTTCGTTTTTGTGTAAAATTCCCATATGTATATGCATTACATATGTATCCCATTTTGTTTTGTTTTGTTTTGTTTTGTTTTGCTTTGTTTTGCTTTATCCAGTCATTTGCTGGTAGGTATCCTGGGTGGTTCCATTTCTTAGCAGTCATAAACATGAATGCGCAAGCACCTCAGGGCCCTTCGGGTATATACACCAGGAGTTTCTTCGTTTTGTATTGTTGTTGTTTGTTTATAGTGTAGAGGTTTTTGTTTCCTTGGTTCATTTTTTTGTTTTGTTTTGATTTTGGTTGTTTTTTGTTGTTATTGTTGTTGTGTTTTGCTTTTTCTTTATTTTTGAGAACCCTGCATTCTGATTTCCATAGTGGCTGGCAGTACACTAGTAGCTGAGCTTCACCCCAGCAGTAAGGATTCCCTAGGGGTTTCTGTTCCCCACGTCCTCCCCAGCATTGGCCCTGCTTTCTGCCTGGAGGGAGAATCTCAGAATGATTCTAATTTACATTTCACGAATGGCAAAGGAATTCATTGCCGCTTCTTCCTTAGAGAACTGTATGGAACTGTCCATTCAAATCATCAGTTCACTTATTGATCAGAAGATTTGGGAGTGTGTCTCAGACCTTCCTGTGCTCCAGAGATGAAGCTTTGTGTGGCACCCAGATGGCAATAATATTTCCCCTGTTCTATAGGATTCCTTTTCATTCAGGTAACTGTCTTATTCTCTGTGTGGAAGCTTCTTATGTTTTGCTTAATCCCATTTGTCAGGCCTTAGAGTTATTTCCTGTGCTGCTGGGGTCCTTCCCAGAGTCTTGCCTATGCTCACATATTCAGATGTTTCTCTCTGGCAGTTTCAAAGCTTCTGATCTGATGTGAAGATCTTTGATCCGTTTTGAACAGATTTTTCTGCAGGGTAAGAAATATGGATCTAATTTCATATTCAGCTTTCTTGGCACCATTTATTGAAGAGGTTGTCATTTTCCAATGTATGTTCTTGGCACTTTTATTAAAAACTAGGTGGATATAGCTGTGTTTGTGTGTGTGTTTGCTTATAGGTCCTCTAATCCAGTCTTTTTTCCTGCATGTGTGCTGTGTCTCTGTGTGTGTGTGTGTGTGTGTGTGTGTGTGTGTGTGTGTGTGTGCATGCACACACACAGCACAGGAGCGCACATGCACCATGCTGTGCAGTTCTAATTGCCACATGTCTGCATCATAATTTAGCGCATTAGATACTGTGATGCTCTCACTGGCAAGTGGAGCACACCTCTGTAACATGAGGGCCGGCCTGTTGGGGTTTCTGTCCCACCCAGTACCCCACAGCCAGCAAGCCCCAAATAAAATCAGAGTCTACATTAGGTTATAAACTGATTGGTCCATTAATTCAGTCTTCTTAACTAATTCTTACATCTTACGGTAACCCATAATTCTTGTCTGTGTTAGCCATGTGGTTCAGTACCTTTTCCAGCGGGGCAGGTTACATCTTGCTTCTCTGTGGTCTGGGCCAGAATGGAGGAATAGGCTTCCTCCTTCCTAGCCTTCTCTTGTTCTCATTGCCCCGCCTCTACTTCCTGTCTGGTTGACCCCGCCTATACTTCCTGCCTGGCCAATCAGCGTTTTATTAAAATACATGATTGACAGAATACAGATGATTCTCCTACACCACATCTCCACTCCACAGTAGCAGCTGTTTAAGAAGTTCTCTACAAAAACCTCTACCCATGCAAAACTTGGGTTGATGGTTCTATAAAGAAACAATTTTCAAGGCAACAAAATATGAAGCGTAATTGAAATTATTAAGAATAGAAAGATTCTCCAAGAGAAAACGAGCAAGCACACGCAGTAGGAAAAGTATGAGCTTCTCTAAGAAAAAGTCAAAATTGGGTTTTAATACAATGGGTATGTGTTATGGGATATTTGATCACCCTGTAAATCCCAAGATTGTGTTAATAAAATAAATCTTGAATCAGATGTTGGAGCCAGCAACTAGTTGATAAGAATTAGCCATAAGTCTTAGTTGAGTACAGAGGAGCCAAGAAAACGATAGAGACACATACGAAATGGAGTAGAGAGGG